TATCTTGCATCTAGCTGAGCGTGTGCCAGCCACCTCTGCAGAGTGGGTGGAGGCAAACCTCCTCTAACAAAGATTCTGGTTTCTAATTTCCATTTAGAGAGGGCTTGTACTCCGTTCATATTCGTGGCTTGTTGTCCATTAAGGATTGATGCATTGTGCACACGAAGGAGCCTGAAGTATTTTAAGTGAAAAAAAGCTTCTAGCCTCACCTTCATCAACTACACCCTAGCTCATCATTTTTTCATAGTACATAATTTAGTACTTCCTGAGCATTCTGTTCTTTCTGAAAGCCTAAGCACTGTATGTATAATTTGCTTGCCTTGTCATTTCTGCACTCTTTTATGCGTATGGTTCAGGCATCCTGTTTGCTTAGTATGTGCAATGCCAACTTATTTACTGTAAAACATGCACTTCTTTCTTCTTCTGGAAAATAGGAAAATTAAATATAGTGCACACATTTAAGCTGTTCTAGTGTTCACGTGGATGCTGCTGCTGAATACTTTAATGCAATGTCAGGGAATTCCATAATCCTGTTTGCTTTTTGGTTTTATTTTTACATTTTTTTAAAATATTGCATATTGTTTAATGCTACACTACAGTGTAGAAGGATGTTTTTAGTGTCTAAATGGTATACAGTCTCTTCACTCACTTCAGAGTTTAAAATTGGCTGATTCTAGAAGTGGGAGGGTTCAAGAAAATGAACATATGTGCTTAATTGTACTTTTCATGGCTCAGGTTTGTGTTTCAGAGATATTAGGGACTCAAAGACAAACACATCTGTAACTTCTCCAACAATTCCGGTATTTAAAATTTGTGTTGTTTCTGTGTGGGAGCTTCATAACCTGCATGATATTATTCATATGTATTTGTAGGTTTAGCTTTGGATATGGAAAGGATGCTACTTGGTAAACTTGTTTTACTTTTGCTTCTTGGAATTTTTGAATCCAGCTCAAAAATCACTAGTATCTGCTCCCTTGAGCTGTAGGTGTCTGTCGGACTCTGCATTTATAATTCTCCTCTCCCCACCCCCCTTTTTTTGGTAAACTGGATAGGTCTATTGAAACGTCCTCTGCACAAATTTCCTCTTCTATGCAACAGAGAGATTTGCTTTTTTCTACCCCCTTCCACTAGATTTTCCTTAAACAAATAGTCTTGTAGATCATGCTGTGACATGCTTAGGCTCAGAGTAGCCACTGTGATAGATAATACCTGAAATTCTACATATACATTAATTTCTGACCCATTGGAAAATATAGTCCTTGAGAAGTTGAGTTGAAACCCACACAGACTTTCAAATGCTGGATGGTTTCAAATTCAACATCCTTTCCTTTGAAGTAGTTGCTAGGAAATAATTTGAGTAACAAGTCTAGTCATCACCAAGTCCTGATAACCCACCAGGAAGATAAATTACTTCCTGTAAGTTACGACATTTCACCTCCTCCCATGTCAATTCATTATATTACTCAGTTGTAGTAAATGATATCTCTGAAAATAGTTAAAAGGATTCCAGTGTGAAACACACAAATATTCACCTATGTACAAAGTTGTATAGTATTTAAAAATAGATAAGTAGACACAACTTTTTCTCCCTTTAAATGTGTCAGTTACTGAAGATTTCTATGGCATCCTGATCCTAAAAGGAACCTCAAAGAACCATTTAATCCATTCCCAGACATCTGGACAGACTGGCCAGCATTATGCTAGTCTTTCACAAGGTGGCCAAAGTTCCTTGTGCCCTGTTTTGCCTTATTTGTGGCTTTCTTTTTTTTCCCTCTCAGTTGAATATATCTGCTTCAGAGTATTGGGTCAATGACATGTTCTACCTAAAGGAGTAGAAAAGAGTAAATTTGCCAGGACAAACATAATGGGGACAGCCACCATATTTTAATTTGGCAATTGTTTTCAGACCACACAACATAGAAGCAGACGTGACATGCACATTATTATGAAATGATGTAAGTGTGGCTTTAAAAATACCTTCGAAAGGTTCCATAGCTTGGCTGTTGTTTCCTCTCTACCCACTCGGAAACAGAGCTTTCACAACTCTTTTCTAACAGCTATGCCTCAATACCAGTTGAGGAGTAACCCGACGTTTGATCCATGTCAGAATGATCGAGACCATGTACGTGTTATAGGAATGGAACAGACAGGTCATTTAATATATTGGAAATTTGTTTCTTCAATGGTCCCATAAGTTGTGAGGGACTGGGCTATGTCACAACTGTGTTTGCTTCTTATAGTTTCTTTCCCCCTGTTTGAATCCTTCCATAGCTTTTAGTGTCCAGATGTCATTTAGCAATTCCCAACAATTATTCTTTTTGAGGAAGTGTATCTTTTGTTCTTTTTTCTATAATTTAGTTGCCTTGTCATTCAGAAAGATTTTTATCCTGAAATCTTGTTTATTTTGGGCCAATTTTTCACTTTGGTAATATTTGTTGTTGTTGTCATAGAAAGCATGGCATTTTTATCCTAAAGGGAATTTATCTGATCTATTCCTCTCATTTCAGGGTGAAAAAAACTGAGCCCTGAGAAACTAAGTGAGCTCTTCAATGTTAATAGACAATGGGGTAGTTGACAGAGCTGAGACTAGAACCTTCTGATTTCCGGCCTAGGGCTTTTTTTGTGGGGCGGGGGGAGAAGAATTTTCATCAACTTACGTGTTTTATTTCAAAAATTCTACTGATAATTTGAACTAGTGGCTAATTAATTTCTCCCCTGATTATTAAGATATATTAACAGTTTTTTTAAAAATTTTATTTTTGACAGAGGAGAGACAGAGCATGAGCGGGGGAGGGGCAGAGAGAGAGGGAGACACAGAATCTGAAGCAGGCTCCAGGCTGTGAGCTGTCAGCACAGAGCCCAATGCCGGGCTCGAACTCACAGGCCTCGAGATCATGACCTGAGCCGAAGTCGGACACTCCATGGACTGAGCCACCCAGGCGCCCCAACAGTTCTTTAATGATTTAAATTTTAGTGTAAGTGGGGCTTTCTCCCCCTTGAAAGTAAGGACCGAATTAGGAGCCACTAACAAATAAGCAAAAATATTTACACTTAGATGGCTATAGCTTTGTACCACTTCACTTGCTAGTAATCAGTCTAGACCTGTACTTAGAGCAGCCATGTTCGCGTTTATTTTCTCCTTCCAGAGAATGCCAAGAGTACAAAGAACTCCCACCAATCTTGCTTAAATCTCACTAGAAAGAATTTCAGAAAAAAAATTCAAATATAAGAAAAGAATTCAAATACACGGTCTTGGGGAATTCAAAGTGCATCAGCAAAGCAGACAGTTTCTTGAGACGATCAGAAGGATTCAAAGAAAGTTGGAAGAAGGAAACACCTGCCTCTGCAAGATCATGTTCCCCGTGATCATGCTATGCCATGATCCTGGGAGCTTCCCCCTATCTGTTCAGCCAGTGCACAGAGCTCATGCGAACTTCAGCACCTTGTCTCTCTAGATCCTTACAGAGCTCCCTGGCTGCTACTCAAATCTGCTTTATCAGAGAGGTCTCCCTGACTGACGACAGTCAGTAAAATAGTTCCCCACCCATCTAGGCAGTCATCAGTTAGCCTGGGTTTTAACTTCCATTGCTGTCTGTCTTGTTTCCTTCCTTATCTGACTTGGTTCCTCTCTGAATGGTTAGTTCTCTTTAATATACAACCAAACAACAACGACAAAAAATATAATTTCTTCCCCTCTTGTTAGCTAAATAATATTGTTTGGTGTGTATGGTAGGATTAATTTTTGTAAAACAGAGATGTGTATTTGCAAAATATATACAGAAGGATGTACAAAACATCTTAACCATGTAATTTTCAGGCGATGGAAGTTATGGCGATTTTCATTTCCTTTGTTATACTTTCCTTCATGGACTGATTTTATTCCAAGTAAAATCAGTCAGAGATTACAAAACTCTCTGTTTTTGTAATCAGAGAAAACAATAGTGTCGGTTCCATGTGGGAAAATGAGTGCTGTTTAATAGAAGTTTGCAGGACATTAAAGTAAGGAGTCAGAATAAGGGCACAGAATCAAAGCCTCGTTTAGGTGAGTAAATTTAGTTGAGAGAAATTGTAGTCTATAAGGGAGAAAGAAAAAAGAAACACTAGTCTACAAAATGCAGACTTTTTTTTTTTTTTTTTATGTGACTGTGGTCATACGGGGTAACGATAGAAAACAAATCAGGGCTTCTGACCCACTGATGGTAGATTGGGTGTCTTTCTCTCCCGGGAGGAAAGACCATTCTATAATGTCAGTAAGCTTATTAAGCCTTCAGTGATCAGCATTTTCCTCCCACCCTCCCCAAATTCTGCTTGGAGTGTTATAGGGCAGACTAATGAACAAAACAAGATTAAGATCTGTTAAATTAATAAGGTCATTTTCCTAATGAAAAATTTATTTTTCATTTGGAAAATTGACCTATAGCCTTGTGTTTATTTTTTCTTTTTAAATGATTTTAAAAATTTTTATTTATTTATTGTTGAGAGAGAAAGAGAGAGAGCGAGTGCACAAATGGGGGAGGGGCAGAGAGAGAGAGAGAATGGGAGAGGGAGACACAATGCGAAGCAGGTTCCAGGCTCTGAGCTGCCAGTGCACAGCCTGATGAAGGGCTTGAACCCATGAACCCTAAGATCATGACCTGACCCAAAGTTGGACACTTAACCCACTGAGCCACCTAGGTGGCTGAGCACAAGGTGCCCCTACCTTGTGTTTATTTTTAATGCAGGAAAATATTAGTGAAATAAAATTGTCTTCTTAATTTAGGCATATTGGAGCAAGTTTTATTTACACTCAGTGAAATGATAGCGTTGGTAATTTCTCCTTTTCTCAGCCAAGAAACCTTAATCTCCTTTCTGAAAGTGATTCTATTTGGGCAGCAAATCCTACATTAAAAATTGTTCCAGATCTCAAGTTATGTAACTGAACAGATGGCAGTCTCATGGCTTTGACATGTTAGGCTGCAATCATAGGACATGCTGAGGAACCAGCTCTGGAGCCTTCCAGTGGACAAGCAGACAGCTCCCGTGAGCAAGCAGACATGTGTGGCTGTGGGATCAGATGAAGAATTGCACTTTGGCTCAGCTTCCCATGTTCACTACCCAGGAACAAATTCCTCAGGATCCTGAAAGAGGTAAAAACCAGTTATGGAGAAACTAGTGGTAAATTTGATTGAATCATAAAAATAAACAACTCTCTGCTATAAGAGAAAACAAAATCTCTCAGGGAATGCTATACCAGAAGAGTGATTTAGTTTATGGTGCAGTTGAAATGTCAGGGGAGATAGATATTGAACTAAATGCATTTTTTAAGTTTATTTATTTATTTTGAAAGAGAGAAAGAGAGAGAATGCATGGGGGAGGGGCAGAGAGAGAGGGAGAGGGAATTTCAAGCAGGCTCTGTGCTGTCAGCACGGAGCCTGATGGGGGGCTCGATCTGACAAACTGAGACCATGAGATCACAAACTGAACCAAAACCAAGAGTCAAATGCTTAACAGACTGAGCCACTCAGGCATGCCAGAGAATCTTAAGCAGGCTCCATGCTCAGCATGGAGCCTGATGCGGGGCTCTATCTCACCACCCTGGGATCACGACCTGAGCTGAAATCAAGAGTTGGATGCTCAACCAACTGAGCCACCCAGACGCCCTTGAATGCATTGTAATTGTACCTTGGGCTTGGAACACAAGGTGGCACAATGGATAAAAATCCCTGCCTTCACAGAGTTTGCAATTTAGTGAGGGAGAAAGATAATCAATCAATCAATCAATCAATCAATCAACAAATGAGCAAACACATACATATGAGAGTGATAAATGCCAAGAAGAAAAAAATAGCACAGAGAGGTATGTATGAAATTTTACGTAGAGTGGCCATAGAAGTCTTCGTTTAAAAAGATGACATTTGAGGAGCACCTGGGTGGCTCAGTCAGTTAAGCGTCTGACTTTGGCTCAGGTTGTGATCTTGTGGTTTGTGAGCCCCATGTTAGGGTCTGTGCTGACAGTTCAGAACCTGGAGCATGTTTTGGATTCTGTGTCTCCAACCCTCCCCTGTCTGTCTGACCCTCCCCTGTCTGTCTGTCTCTATCTCAAAAATAAATAAAACATTAAAAGATTAATAATAAATAATAAAAAAATAAAAAGATGACATTTGAGGAAAACCTGAAGGAAATGAGGGTGTAAATCTTGTGTATATCGGGGGAAAGTGTTATAGAGAGAGGAAACAGCAAATTCCCAGACTTAGGAGATACCTGGAGTGTACAGGGAACCACAAAAAATCCATTGTGGTTGAAGCAGAGTACACGAGGGGAGGTTGTCCAAGATGACATTTGAGAGATGATGTGAGGTCAGACCAAATAGAGTTTTAAAGGTCATAGTTTGGAGTCTGCCTTTGATTCTGAGTGAGATGGAAACCATTAGGGGGTTTTTCAGCAGACAAAGGGCATGATTGAATTATTATTTATCAGGATAACCCTTTGAAGGAAATAAACTGTAGAACGGTAAGAGCAGATAAGAGGAGGAGGGGAGTGAGGATCAGGGAGGAATCATTTAGGAGACTGCTGAGAGAGAACAAGTTGAGAGATTATGGTGGCTTGAACCAGGCCGTCAGCAATAAAGGTGGTGAGGAGTGGGCAAATTCTAGCTATATTTTGAAAGCAGAACCAACAGTTCTGGTTGATAGATGAGGTGTATTGCCGAAGAAAAAGAGAGGGGTCTGGGATCATTGCAAGGTTTGGTGTCTATGTAACTGAAAGGAAGGAATACATCTGAGAAGCTTAGTGAAAAAGAAGAGAATGTGGAAGGAGTATATTTGAGGGATATCAGGAGTTCAGCTTGGGATATATTGTTAGAGACGTCTATTAGACATCCAAATGGAGATGTCGAGTGAGCAGTGGGATGTATAAGTCCCAAGTGCCAAGGATGGGTTTGGGCTAGAGATATACATTTTGGGGTCATAAGGATATACATGGTATTTGAAGCTATGAGGCTTGATGGATTTACCTAGACAGTGTGACTGAGTATAGGACCAGGTGAGTATGGAGAGAGCGATCATCTATTTGGAATGTTGCCAATGAGTAAAATGAGGCAAATTGAAAACTGGATTTCACCATGTACAAGTTATCATTAATTTTCATAAGAGCAATTATCTGGAGTCTAGTAGAGTCTAGAGCAAAAGCCTGTTGGAGTGAGTTCAGGACAGAATGGAGACATTGGAGACAGTAAATAAAAGCAATTCTTTCAAAAATACTCACTTTAAAGAGGAGAGAAATGACTGATAGCCGGATAGAGAGATAGGATCAAGAAAGAATTCAGAAACATTTCTTAAAGGATAACAGACGTGATAAAAACGCACATTTCTTAGGTGCATAGCTCTGTAATTCACAACCAAACACACGGGCTAGCACCCATTTTCCGTTTACAAGTCCCTACCCACCTCAAGGGCAACAACTATCCTGACTTCTAAAACCGTAGATTCATTTTGCCTGCGTCTGTACTTCAGTAAATGGAATCAGATCATTCACGCTCATTTGTATTTGTATCTGTAGTTACGTTTTAATCATTCTTATTGCTGTGTACTAATCCATCATTGTGAATATATCAAGATTTATTTATCTGTTCTACTGTTGCGCAGCAATTGGGTATTTTCCATTTGTATTCTCTATTTGTAGTTTCTTTTCTATTTGTAGTTTCCCCAGGTGGAATTACTGGGGCATAAAGTATGCATATATCCATTTTTAGTATTCCGAAATGGTTTTACCAGTTTACTGTCTCACCAGCGTGGTAAGAGAGACTTTATCATTAATAGGAGTGATATTATATCTATCTGTCACTCCTTTGTCTTGTATCTCCTTTTGTTGAGAACTAAAGTAGTGGAGAGAGGCGATACTTATTGGGGCCCCTCAAAACCTTAAGGATAAGATTCTACTGCTCACAGGTTCTCCTGATGATTGACCAATTGTAAAGTGCTAGCACCATGCCTAGCACAGGACAGGAATACAGAATGTGTTAGTTGTGGCTCTTATTTTGTAGTCATCTTCTCAGACCTGCCTCCAGGCAGAGGTAAAGTAAAGCAGCGATGACTGCACATGCCTTCTGCTCCAACTCCCGCTTATCCATCCAATCTTGCTTTGTAGGATTGGGAAAAGATGAGGACTCCGAATGTTTCAGTGACTATACTGTAGGGCCACGAACAACACGAGGCTCAAATACCCCTTTCCGTAACTTGCACTGCATCCTTTAACCAGACCAGGCATTTCACCAGGGTGTTGGAGGGGCTGAGGACTGGTAATGCCCTAACTCTGTTAGGTTTCATTGTAAAATAAATCTTCTAATGTACTAGGAAAGATACTCAACCCAGGAAACTCAACTCACTGAAATTTTAATGGCAGAAATCCTGAGGAGGGCTAATTATACAGCTAGATATAATTTTTGCCTTTTGCAATTTTCTGGAAATGGTTATTGTTTATTTAGCCAATAAATTAAATATATTCTGGATGGATACCTGGGTGTCTCAGTCAGTTAAGCATCTGATTCTTGGTTGGATACCTGGGTGTCTCAGTCAGTTAAGCATCTGATTCTTGGTTTCAGCTCAGGTCCTGATCTCATGGATTGTGAGATTGAATCCTGCATTGGGCCCCATTCTCACAGCGTGGAGCCTGCTTGGGATTCTCTCTCCCTCTTTCTCTGCCCCTACCCGGCTCACACGCTCTCTCTTTCTCTCAAAATAAATAAATAAGCTTTAAAAATATACTTCTGGATTAAAAAAAAACATTTTACAATATATGTATAAATCAGAAAGAGTATATATGACTGAAATCATCATTGCATCCGAGGACATAAATTTATTTTTATACTGATTATGTCTGATTATACCTTTTTTCCCCACATTGAAACATAATTTATGGAGTTTTTGAGAAGCAGTATCTTTCAGTGATATGATCTTCTAGGTAAAACAAAACGTTTCCCTATTTAAAAAAAAGTGTACTTCATATTTTGAGCAGTTTTATACTTAAATAAAAATTACAAAGACAGCACAGAGAGTTACCATATACGCCATGCTCAGTTTCTCCTGCAGTTAAGATACTAGTATAGTACCTTTGTTATAATTAAAGAACTGATATCAATTTGTTAACTAAAGTTCATACTTTACTCGATGTCCTTAGTATGTACCTAATGTTCTTTTTCTATCCTAGGATCTCACCCCGGATACCATGTTACATTTAGTTGTTGTGTTTCCTCAGGCTTCTCTTGGCTGTGACATTTTCCAAACTTAATTTGTGTTTGAGGAGTACTGGTCAAGTATTTTGTAGAATGTGCCTTAAGTGGGATTTATCTGATGTTTTTCTCATGATTAGACTGGGAGAGGGTTTTTGGGAGGAAGACCACAAAGATAAGAGCCATTTTCATCACATTGTATCAAGGGTCCATTCTATCAATATGGCCTATTACTATTGATGTTGACCTTGATCACTTGGCTGAGGTAGTGTGTCCTGTTTTTCCACTGTAAAATTATGCTATTTCCATACTGTGTTCTTTGTAAGGAAGTCACTACGCACAGCCCACACTGAAAAAAGTGGGGAGATATGCTTCACCTCCTTGAGAGTAGAGTACCTACATAAATTATTTGGAGTTCTTCTGCAAGGGAGATGGGTCTCCGTGCCCTCATTTATTTATATATTCAACCATTTATTTATAGACCCATAGATGTTTATGTTTATAACTTTGAGTTATAGTCCAATACCACATTATTTATTTTATTGCTCCTCAATTTGTTCCAGGTTTGGCTATTGGGAGCTCTTTGTGTTGGCTCTGTATCCCTTTGACATCCCCCTCTCATTGTGTGTGTGTGTGCGCGTGTGTGCGTGCATGTGTGTGTGTGTGTTTTAATATTTTCTTAGTTTCTGGAACTATAAGATGCTCCAGGACCATCTTGTGTATTTCCTGACCTAGTCCTAGAATCAGCCATTTCTCCAAGGAAAAATTCCTTGGAGATGCCTTGGTTCCTCTTATTGGAGAATGATATTAGAAACTAAGATCTGGGGGCTCCTGGGTGGTCCAGTTTGTTGAGCATCTGACTCTTGATTTCAGTTCAGGCCATGATCTTACAGTTCATGAGATTAAGCCCATCAGGAACCT